ACCACTCTTTGTTAATACAAATTTATCAGACTCAAATACAAGCCTAAAACCATTTTTACTTAACAAATAACCAGAAACTAAATTCTTTCGGATGTCTGGTACATACAGCACGTTGTTGAGGGTTAATTCCTTCCCATATGTCATCTTCAAGACTACTTTCCCTTGTCTAACCACAGCAGAAATAGATGAATTTCCCATGAATAGTTGCTCACCATTTGCAGCCTCATTATAAGTAGTGAACATCTTCTTGTCCTCGCAAATGTATCGAGTTGCCCCAGTGTCAACCCACTATTCTTTGGGATTTCCAATCAAATTAGCCTCAAACACCACAGCAGAGAGATTGATGTCATTTACCCCGTTAGAGATGTAATCAAGTTCTATCAATGCGATCCTTCTTAGGGCAGCGGCAATCAAAGGCTCGATGTCCAGTCTTGCCACAATTATAGCATTTACCTTTGAACTTTTTATTGTCATTGTTGTAGTCTTGTTTAGGACCATCTCCAGCAAACCTCTTTTTGTTATTTGGTTTGGGCACATTTTCAACCACATTAGCCTTAGACTCAATGTGATTTTTACCATTTCTCTTTTTAGCCTTACGGTTATCTTCCTCAATTCTTAGTCTTACAATCAATTCATTCATGGTCATTTCCTTGCGTTTATATTTTAAATAATTTTTGAAATCTTTCCAAACCGGTAGTAATTTTTCCACTAAAGCAGGGACTTGGAAAGATTCGCTAAGAGACATACCTTCAGAATGAATATCATGCAAAATTAAATGTAAACTTTAAACTCGAGAAATTACCGTCTGGGAGTCTACCATAACGAAGTCCATAAATTTACCGACAACAAATTTCTTTGTGCCGACATCCTCTGTCTTGTATTTTCTCCAAAGAATCCCACAATTCTTTTGCTGTTTTTAGAAGGCTGTAAACATTATACAGCATGTTGTCAAGGCCATTGAGGATGTAGTTTCTACACAGAAAATTAGAATGTTTCTAGGCATCCATAGCGGCAACAACTTGCTGCTCACTTTCATCCTCTCTAAGTACTGGAGCCTCTTCACGGAGAAATCGAGCCAAATTTAGAGTTGTAAGATAGAACAGTATTTTCTTGTGCCATCTCTTAAACTCAATGCCATTAAATTTTTTCAATTTTTCTCCATGATTTATTGGAACTTAAACATGGTTCTGGATAGGGACCGGAGTCGTTGTAACAATTGGATTTGGAGTACTACTTTCAGCAGACATAATATCTTATTACAAAAATCAGAAAAACCAAAACACAAATTGACTTTCTAGTTACTCAAACTAGAGAATAAATTATAACACAAAATAATTTTATTTTTCTAGCTACTAAAACTAAGAAAATAAATTACTGCACAATAATTTTCTATAACACTATTACACAAAATAATATTCTGAATTGTTAATGACACCAGTATATTACTATTAGTTGTCAAAGAAAATAAACAATATTACTACTATTTGTCAAGTAGTATATGACTACTATTTGTATTTTTCAACCAAAATATCACTGTGTAAAAGCACAGAAAATAAATTCAATGAAGACACCCCAAAAAAATATGTCTTAAGATTGTTGGACAATCTTCACTATATTACAAATAAATTATGTTTGTGTACTTAACAACAAACAGAAGAAATAAAGAAAATGAGAGAGATTGTTTGATTGCAAAAATCAAACCAGAATATAAAATAAATAAATAAAAATAAATTTTTATTTTGTTATAAAAACAAATTCAAAATCTGAAATAGAAAAAATAATATAACAGAAAGTAAATTAATTACTAATCTTATGTATTTATTGAACAAAATTCTGATCAAGTCCAGTGTTTAACACTATGTCCTTAAGACAAATTCGTCCTCTCCACGGTACTTTCAGATTGTGGACGTCTATCTCCCAAGATAAAATGATCAACTACGAATAATAGTAGCATTACAAATTATTCGCACAACGAACACACTTTGTGTTTACACTCTTTTCTTACAAGAAAACAATACAACAAAATGCAGAGAGAGCAGGCAGAATTTGGCATGAAAATTAAGTGTCAAAACCAAGTGAGGGACTGCCAATTTATAGATGTAAAGGTGGCCGTACAGTTTGAATTAAACAGGTACAAAACCTGTTTGAACAGGTATTATATCTGTTCGGTTTGAATGAACAGGTAATGTGGCTGTTGGGTTTAAATTCAAACATATATGAATTTGTTTGGTTTAAATTCAAACAGATATTCATCTGTTCGGGTGAGGAAAAAATCGAAGCCAATTTTGAAATTAATTTTTAAAATTCAAATTCTAAAAAATTAGAATTTAATTTTAGAAAAATAAAATTCAAATGTTTTTTGCCCAAAAAGATAGGTATTGGGTCGGACAAGCTCAACCCAACCACACACCACGCACCCAGCCTAGCCCGACCGACTGGACGGGCTGCGGCATGCATGTGTTTATTTTGGGTTCAATGGGTCTAGCCCATTTTGCCCATAATCTCCCCCTCTACAAAACTTGGGTGCCCTTTGGAGCCTATCTCAAATTCCAAACTCAAGCCTCATAAACCCACTCAAAGTTTGCCCACCAAATCAATATAGGACAAGCCTTAAACCAAACCTTTAAGAAATTTCACCAAAACACCATTTCCATGGAGCTCTCTTTGGTTTCAATTTCCCATTCACCCGATAATGGTTTTGAGCAACCAAACATACTACGTGAATCACAACATGGTATAGAACGTGTTACCACTTAGACCCGCCAACTTTGGCGCATAGGTCCCCACCTAAAAAAATAGACTAAAGTTGAAGAAAAATCTGTTTTTCCAAAATTTCCAAAACCCATTTCTAACAATATAAACTCTTATTATGCATGTGTCTCCATATAATAGTATTGAAGTTTGTTTCAGTTGCTATCTCAAAGATTCGTGATAGAGTCAAAGAAGATGTGTACGGTCTTAAAATTTTAAAGTAAAAATTTTACATTATGATTTGTTCAAATGTAATTCTGTTAATAATATGTATAAATGTTTTTTTATTAATTGATAAAAAGTATGTAAACATTAAGATTATTTTTTTATGATACTGAATTATTAAAATATGATGTATTATAGCTTAAATGAAGAATTATTGGCAAAAAATCGACTTGAATTAGGTTTTTAAGGCTCATTTTTAATGTTTAATCCAATATTGGAATTCTCAAACTAGCTCATACCGACCACGAATCGATAAACTATGATATAATTTATATATAATGCTTAAATTTATTACTGTCAAGTGTTTTTACTAATTAACTGTTAATTTTTTAGATTAAGCATAAGATTAAAACTAAACTATGACATATAATTTAGGGCGACTTTATCTTAAATAATTTTTTTATATATGAATATATATAACTATTTATTTCATAGTGTTAACGTAAATATAAAAAAAATTTACCTAAGTTCAAAGGAGTTATAGATATGCATAAAATATGTTTATATTTCTTATTTTTATTATAAAAAATACTTATAGATATTTATTTATCAATTTATAAAATAAATAAGTCAAATGATTCATAAGTTGGGCATAGACCAAGATAAATTTCAATAATGAGGTAAATGTCACGTTAACATAAATATACAAGTCATTTATGTGTAACTCTGATAAAAAAATAAATAAAATTTAATTGATTATAAATCATTTTTACTATATATTTTAGATAAATTTTATATTATTATTTAATTTTAAAACTAATTTTTGATTATTTATTTATGTTCGTGTATAGTACGGATAATATGCTAGTTTTATATTGAAACAAATGGAGTGTTAGGATCAGCATTCCTATCCATATTTTCTAGGAAAATGGGGAGACCCCCACTAGGGGAGACCTCCAGCACCCTCAGTGGGGGCTGATTGGTCCAAAATTTTTTTTTTTTTCTTCTCTTTTTGACTCCCACGTATATATGGGAATGGTGGGGGCCACCCCAACTGGAGGTCTGCAGCAGTGTTGTATTTTCTATATAGTTGTTTAATAGTCATTATCGGAATTGGTGATAGTTTACTTACTAACTATTGTTTGGATTTTAGTTGTTCAATTTTTTATTTATTTATTTATTTTTTTGGTTGGTTTCCCCCCAGTTCGTGATCGGATTGGAGAGTATTGTTGGACCTGTGAAGGCCACTACGGGTTCCGTTTTGATAATCTGAACCGTTAATGTGTAGAACTCGTCAAGTATTATGTGCTTATAAAAAAATCATGTTAATCGAATATCGATAGCTATCTCATCGGATCAGATTTCTGTCAGGCGATTATTTTTTCACCGTCTATTTTTTTTTTATATATAAAACTGATTTGATTACGTAGCTATCGATATTCAATTAACGTGTTTTTTAATAAGAGTATAATACTCGACGAGTTTTACACATTTAATGGTTTAGATTATTGAAACGGGAATATGTGGTGGGCCTTTACAAGCCTAATAGTATCCTTTAACCCGATTACGAATTGAAAGGAAGCCAGTCTCATTGTTTTTTTGTTCTTTTAACTGAGATTTTAGTTGTCCAGTTTGATGTAGCAATTCTTAAATTTGCAATTATTCTCTTATATAGACTGGCAAAAAAAAAAAAAAAAAAAAAAAAAAAAAAAAGAAGAAGAAGAAGAAGAAGAAGAAGAAGAAGAAGAGAGAGACACCTTTAAACGGGTCGGTCGACCACATATTTTTTTCCAAACTCTCAGTCCAGACCCAATTCTAGGCCAAAGGGCTGGGCTTTTTCAGGTCTCGTGATTATTTACTTTTTTCCAAAAATCCAGTCAGCCAACACCCAAACAAAACTTCAAACTTCAAAGAACTCGGCCCAAGCCAACAACACGATCTCAGACTGGGCTGGCCCATCCTAGCCCAGCCTACTAATTGGGCCTATCGTTCTCTGAGTGGGGCCCAAATACAACATTCAGAATTCCTCAATAGCCCATTGCGCGCGCCAATAAATTCATATATAAACTGCCCAGACTTCAAATTCAAAAAAAATAAATAAATAAAATAACAGATTCAAAATTTCGGTAAAAAAATTGAATTTGAATATCAATCTCTTCATCATCAATCACAGTTCGATTCAAATCTCGAAGGTTTCAAGTGTTGGTTCGATTAAATGAAGTTGAAGATCAACAAGGCTTGCGATCTCAACTCCATTTCAGTTCTTCCTCCTTACGCAAGGTTCAATTCGATCACAAAATCTCTTCAAATTCTGCGTTCTATACACAATTTCACACACACAGACACGCAAATTGTTGTGTTGAACTTTGTGTTGATTGTTTCGGTGAAGATTTGAGAGGAGATCGAGCACTGTACCGAACGGAACGGACCGGAGTCGTTCGCAGCCATCGCAGCAGTCGTCTCAGCATGGAATGTTTTCTCAGCTCTCGCAGAACTCTCTCGATGAGATCGTGACGAACGATCAGGTTCTCTATCACTCTCTCTACTTTCAAAAGAAAAGAAAAAGAAAAGAAGCTACTGATGATTAAGTGATTTTAAGATCTGAATTTGAAGAGCATTTAACTATAATAACGAGAAGAAATCAATTTTTATATTATTTGTTTGTGTTGAGTTGATGAATAATTGGTGATGCTAAGCCATAAGCATCCTTTTATGCCTCAAAGTCTTTACCTGATCTGTGGCCTTTCTATCCACCTGTTTCTCTTGTTTCTTTACTAAACACTGATGTTTCTTGTCTGCATCATTAATGAAATGAGCCTCTTGTTCAAAAAAAAAAGTCATAAGCATCCGATTAGGATGTTGTGGAGTGTATGTTCAATATTGATTGTGGAAAAAAATTTGAATTCGTTTTTTTCACAATGATTTTTATTTTAAATGGTTTGTATGAGTTTGCTCTGGTTTCATAATATTCGGAAGGTTTTTTTTTTTTTTGGTCAATCGATAGGAGAGTAATTACGAGTATGAAAAATATTATATAATCAAACAAACTACTAGCACACGATAGCTAGAAAGTCGATAGAGCCTACCTCAGCCCAAGCCCAACAACCACTCCACTACTTACATACAACCCCATTGTTAGTAATATAATATAATACCTAAATATAGTGCAACTTTTGATTAATATAACATGTAATACAGTGTATTGCTTTTGGATTGTTTTCGGCTCTTTTCATCATGAGCCATCATTGTCCATTGTCTGTAAAGATTGTATCTTCTCCTATATAAGGAGCCCCTCACCATTTGTAATATAGAACATTCAATACATATTCAATACACAATTTATTCTTTCCTTTTATCTATACATGTTATACATTAAATCTTACATGGTATCAGAGCTAGGTTAACAACTTAGTAATTCCGCTTCACCGGCGGGCGGCAACCTCGCCTTGGCCGCCCGCCGGACCAACCCAAATTTCCTTAATTTCTTCTTCAATGGCAGATTCTTCAACAACACTTCCCTATCACATCACCAGATCCGGTCAGATCTGCTCTTCAAGCATTTCTCCGTCTCAAGTCACAATTTTCAATTCTCACGACACTACTACTGCTGCTGCAGAGGAACGTGTTCTGGTTGCTTCCAAGAATCACAAAGAAGCTGAGAAACGCCGTCAGCAAAAGATCAATTCCCATCTCGACAAAGTTGATGTCGTCAGCTTTATCTCATCGTCGGTGGAGATACAAGCACACGGGAGCTCGGTTTTTGCTCCCACAACCACCGAAGATGGCCACTGCTCGCATGCCGCTCGTCGTCCTAGCCCAGGCACCATCGTCTGCCCACGAAAGAGTCACTCAAGGCACTGTCCTGCGCGCGACCACCCCAACTCGCGTGGCTTGCACGCTTCGCGTCTGACCCCTGCTGTATCGCCCACTGCTCACACCGTGGCTCCGTACACCACTGACGTTGCGACCCAAAGCGCCACCAGCTCGCGCTATCACCAGCAATGCTTCACGGTTCGAACCAAGGCGATCAAAGGGAAAGGAGCTTGGTACTGGGCACATTTCGAACCCATCTTGATTCAAAACCCAAAGACAACTCTTCCAAAGGCTGTCAAGCTCAAATGCACTCTCTGCGACTCTGCTTTTTCGGCTTCGAACCCATCTCGCACTACTTCGGAGCATCTCAAGAGAGGGACTTGCCCCAATTTCACTTCCTTTTTTTGAAACCCATTTCGTCAATACCAGTCTCGCAACTGCCTCCTTTGTCTTCTCCGCCTCCATGGTTGTCCACAGCCACGACACCACCCTTCCGATCTTTCTCGACGAAATGCTCGTCCACTATGAGGCACCTTCAAAAATCACTGCAGCTAAAGCAATTGCAGTAATGTCACCCAACTTTGCTATCTCTCTCTCTGCTGGACCCAACAATTGCTGTCCCCCACTCACTTCACTCTTTCTGAATTCTTCTTTTGTTTTTTCTTCATGACAGCCACATACATGGGCATGTCCCTCCGCCAATGCTCCCATCATTTTTCTTTTTCATATATATATTTATTCCGCCAAACAATACCACTTTTTTAATTCCTTAATTTATTCTATATTTTAATAACATGAGTGGCCTCACTTTTCCATCACCTCTCTCTTTTTCTAAACAATATTTTTTTCCACTTTCAAACCCACAATTCTTTTTTTTTAATCAACCCACCAGGGCACATGCTTTTGCCATTAATATATTATTATTATTATTTTTATTACTCCGGGTTACATCCCTCTCATCAACTATCTTTTATTTTCTATATATATCTATATCTATGTACTTTCCAACCCACCAGCGCACATGCTTTCGCCATTAATATATTATTATTATTATTATTATTCAAAAAAAAAAAATACCAAACACCATTGCAGGTTTAAACAAAATCGTGGGCCAAGAAACCCACGTGCACCAATCTCCTTTTCCCCTCACTCTCTCGTTTTTTATTTCAAATATATTATTATTATTTCTTTCTGACAGGGATCAACCCCGATCACAATTTTACACACACAAAAAAAAAAAAAAAAACCCCAAAAAAACAAACCAAAAAAAAAAAAAAAAAAAACACAATTATCATAATAACTTCATTTGTACCACGTTTACATCAACAAATTACTGTAATAACTTTGAATCTGGCGATATAGAAGTAATCGAACTTGACAAGATTGTGAGATGTTCAGCAGTAGAATAATTTTGTTGCTAAATAAATCACACAGAGTCAATCACAAATAAAAAAACTAGATTATTGTAATAACTTCAGATTCAGATATTCTAAGTTTACATTAATAAATTATCACAATAACTTTGAATCCGCAATACAAAAGTAATCAAGTTTGATCAGATTATGAGATGTACAATAATAATCAGGATCTACATTGATATTGTTAAGCTCAAAGTGAACAGAAGATCTAAAGGACAGTCAAAGAAATAAGATGGTTATGGTTTCATCCTGTCAAACTAAGTAGGAACAAAAAAAAAAATGAAATTGTTACTGAACATGACTTCAGAGTATACTGATTGGCCTCAATATCCGTTTGCATCGCCATTTTTTGCTCCACCGACCGCATCGGAAAGTTCAATGGAGCAAAACCAGAGGTGTTTGGTTGAGGTTCACTGGCCACCGCACCAGTTATTTCTCTTGTGGACTCGTTCAGTTCTGGAAAGAGCGTGAGCAGACCACGGGAAGAGGAGGCCATGTTCTGGGTAGCTGGACGGGAAGAAGAGGCCATGTTATGGGTTGCTGAGTGTTTCAAAGAAGGGTTGGTTACAGAATGTTTACAGAGTGTTTCAGAATGCCAATGTTCAGAGGTTTCAGACTGGTTTGCACAGCCTCCGCCTCAACCTTGGTTAAATAGCCAACGCGGACACGCGCATCGTGCGCCGCTCGGCACTAGACGACAACATGGGCGCGCAAGCCAAGGTAGTCACGCGCATCACCATAATGTCCGGCACACCTTTTTATTGGGCACGCCTTTTGATGGCACGCCTTTTGCAAGATTGGGCACACCTTTTGAGGGTGCGACTTTTTACAACGGTCCGGCATGACCCCGTAAACTGTCCCGACATTGATTCCGGTCAGCTTTTACATCGGTCCGGCATAACCCCGTAAACTGTCCCGACATTGATTCCGGTCAGCTTCTACAACGGTCCAGCATGACCTCGTAAACTGTCCAGACATTATCTGCTACAACGGTCCGACACGACCATACAGTGTCTTCACCAACGGTCTGACACGACCATACAGTGTCTCTTATCATATTTTACTTTTATTTGTCAGTTCATTTTCTTATTTTGTTACTCTCTCCAAACTCAAGTTGGTTCCTATCCTCCTTGAGTTTGAGGGGGGCTGTTAGTAATATAATATAATACCTAAATATAGTGCAACTTTCGATTAATATAATATGTAATACAGTGTATTGCTTTTGGATTGTTTTCGGCTCTTTTCATCATGAGCCATCATTGTCCATTGTCTGTAAAGATTGTATCTTCTCCTATATAAGGAGCTCCTCACCATTTGTAATATAGAACATTCAATACATATTCAATACACAATTTATTCTTTCCTTTTATCTATACATGTTATACATTAAATCTTACACCCATAATGGGATAATGGGTGTTACACAACCACTCAGCCAAATGCCCTTGTTATTCCGAATGTGTTTATTATTATTATTATTATTTTGGAGGGGTAACTTCTAGTTAGGAGAATTTGGGTGTGCACATGTGCTTGTGAGATATGACCTGTACATTTTTACTCGAATCATCTCCTATAGCTTTGATGTGCTTCTCTCATCTAGGAGTGAAGCTACTACATTGTCAATTTCTATTGAAATATAGAATGGTGTCCTATGCATTTGCCGTGCAACATCCCCTTTTTAATGAGAACAATTGTAGGCTTTAGAATGTTGGGAACACTGACAATGTCCATGACTTCACACTTTATTTTACTGTGTCAGAGACACCATCAAGCAGTCATAATTTCTGAATATATGTTCCTGGTGCTTGTACTCCTGACTACAGAGTCCTCTTTTATAGTTATACGAACTAGGATTCTCCTATTAAGTAAAACGATTGTTAATTTTATTGTTAGAGAAAGATTTAGAGCTCTAGGCATGGTGCCCAATTTCCTGTACTGTACTTTGATTAGGTTCCTATAATAGATAATATATGTTCCTTGTGGGATTGTTTGGTGCCATTTGAGAAATTTATAACTGGACTTGTAACAAGAGGGAACTTCCCAACTTCCAAAGGGAATTGACAGCCATTTTTTATCTATTTCCTCTATTGGCCTGTAATGCCCCACTCTCGGGTCGTTAAATACACTAAAATAACCTTAAAAAAATACAAGTTTTTCCCCCAAAAATAATAATTACAAAATCGTCTCCAAATGGTACAATATCCTCCAAATATTCTAATTGCCTCCAAAATAAACAATATTACAATTATCTCCAAATTTAATAATTACAGTGGTGGGTCCCAAATCTCTATATTAATAAATCTTTTTAATCTCAATTTTGAGCTCCACTAAAATCTGCTCCGCACTTGAAAAATAATTTAATTCGGGAAGTATACAATACGACAGGAATACAAGGCTCAGATACAGAATAAATTAACAAGAATCCAACAATTTATGACATTAAATCAATGATACGATAATCAAGCAATTTACCAAATTGCACAACAAATCAATTATAATTTATCTAGGACCAAATACCCAGTCCTACTCAGTACATGATCAGTGAATAAATTCATTTATTCACCCACCTCACCCAAGCTCCACACTTATCCGGGCATATTGGTGTAAACAATTAATAAGATTCACTCGATCCATGTACGGAGTATTTCCATGTCATTCAGTCAGACAAATCAATATTTTAACACAGAAATATTTGTAGAGAATTTTACCAAATGATTAGATTATCAACGATTTGACAACAAATGATTTTACAAAATCTATTAATAACCACAATAATCAAGTGGATTACAAATTGAGGATAATTAAAAATAGAGAACTCTTTGCAAAGAGATTTAAATAGAGCATATTGTATACAACCCGAATTTACCTCAAAATAATTAATTTCATCACCATAAATCTGACATTGCTCCATGGATCTCCAAAAATAGCTTTGATCAAACTTCTAAAACATAAAGCATGTATAATTTAATAAAATCTACAACTCACAATTTATTTATTTATTTTATAAAATACTTATTTTCACTCTAAACACTCCTATATCTAAACTTAATATTTCTACTGTACACAATCTATGAGAGGAGGAGGGCCGACAGAGAGAACAAATGAAGAAGAAGAAGGGAATGTGAGGAGCCACTCACTTTGTTCGTTTATAAAGGAATGAATGAGAGGGAATGAAGGAGAGGAAAAAGATTAAAAAAATTAAAAGTAAATGAAATGATGGAATTTGTGGGTTTGGTGTGGCAAGTCAGGAAACTGTGGGTTGTTTTGCCCATGGTTTGTTTGCTTATTTGTTTGTTTGTTTTTTTTTGCGCACATGATGGGAATTGTAGGAAAGTTTATTTATTATTATATCAGAATAAATAATAATATGATAGATATAAAAGAGGTGAGATAAATATAAATAAATAATTTAAAATTAAATTCTTATCTAAAAATCTCATTACTAAATTAAAATAATAAACCATCAATACCACTCACTAAATATTAATACCTCAAAATACGGGGTGTTACATGGCCCACGCTACTTCTTTTAGAAATGGTACTGTTAATGCCTTTGTGATACTTCTCAATTCATGTAATAGATGTCAAATTCTATTTTGGAGTGTTGATGTGAAGAATGTATTTGAATCGAATTGTTTAATCCAAATTTTATGTTAGAGCAAAGTATTATCTTAGAACATCATTGCTAATTTCTTAAAGAGCTATGTGTCACAATTAGCTTACCGAAAAAATTGTCAATTAGGACTAGTTTGCTGAAATTATTTTGAACTTTTGACTATCCACTCTTAAAGTTTCCAGTCTTTAATGTCTATACCTTTAGGAGCACTCTAGTTTATTGAAACCAATCTTTAATTGTTCTATATTTCCCCCCTATTCTTTTCTCTGCTTTCATTATTGAATCTGTGTTTTACATAACTATGCATATGTCCACTTCACTTGTGAATATTTTGACATTCTAGAGCATCATCTTCTGGAAAATGCATCATGTCCTCCATGTTCTGGGAAGGAGAAATTCACTCAACGATGAGTTTAACCTTTTAGTACTTTTTTGGTTCTTCATGAAAGTAGTTGCCAAGTCCTTGGTTAAGTGCCCGATGCCAATGCAGAAATGATTTGTATTTTCCATTTAATGATTATGGTTGCCTTTTCTCTAGCGGAAGCAAACATTTATTTAGCCTGTGTTGCTTTTATAGAGGATTGGTTCTCAAGAAAGAGAGAATTCAGTGAAAAAGATTGATTGCTTGCCCCCTATCAGCTACATGCGAGAAGAGAGTCAAATGCCAATCTCTAGATCGTCCGCCAATCTGATGCGCAAATGGAACTCTGCTTCTGCTGCAGATCACCAATGTAAGTTTACAGCCAATGGGAAGTTTGTTTAATTTTGTAAAGCCATGAAAGATGCAGATTATATTTAATGTGACTTTGAAAATTTTGAATTAGAAAGGGTTCTAATTTTTTTACCTCTCTACAAATTAGTGAGCAAATTAATCTTTTGTCCTTCTACATGGATGTGCTTTCTTCGGCATTAAAAGGTCAGATAAGTGAAGAACTTGAACGCAGGATTGGAATTATAGAAACTTCATTGAATAGGTTTGGAATGATCTTGGATTCTGTTCAGAGCGATATCATGCATGTAAACAAGGGGACAAAAGAAGCATTAATGGAAAGTAAGTATCTCAGTTTTCAAATGCATTGGTAAATAGGAGTTTAAGATGAAGTTACCCAATTTAATATTTGTAATTGTAATACTACACCTATCTGTAATTGTAGATAGGAGTTTGAGAAGAAGTTACCCAATTTGGTACTAGTAATTGTAATACTACACCTATCTGCCACCAGTTATTTGTGGGCTGTGACCCGGTACGTTGAAAATCTCTAAAAAAAAGCACTTGAGTCCTTGATAACTATTACTGTTCTCAAAATGGCTTAAGTTTTTTTTTTTTTATTCAAGGTATATAGAACAAAACAATAGTGGCATGATTCATCTGCTGTAGTTCCTTCCACAGATTCAGTTGAAAACAAGATATCATTGCTTCAACGAAAAAAATAATGTAGATGGTTAAGTTTCACACAAATGTAGGTAAATTGTTGATGATGAAAATGCTTGGTCTATCTTGCCACAAGGAATATCAGGCAACTGTCTGAAACTTGCATTTGAAATGTGATGAATTGTGAAAAAAAAGACACACGAGAAAGAGAGAGAGAGAGAGAGAGAGAGAGAGAACAATAATTTTAATTACTTGATGCATCTTAATTTGTGCCTAATTAGTATAATTTCTTTCTTTTCTTTTTTTCTTTCTTTTTTTCTTTTAAATTTCTTCCAGTGGAAAGCATACAGCAGAAGTTGATTGCTAATGACAACTTGATGCAACTAATGGTAAGAGCGAGCACCATGACTTAACCCATAAGTTCTTTTGAACTGCCTGTTTATTTCAGATGTCAATGGATGCAGACTTTCTAACACAATTGAGAAATGATGACCAGAACAAGGGACAAGAAGATGTCAAAACTAACCTTGTTGGGGGCTTAAAATCTATTTCTGATCAAGTTAGCCAGGAGATAGATCGAGACAGGTTAAAGGAGATTTCTTCAATGATATCAGCTTTTCCAGAGCAGATAGATTTGTGTTTACAAAAATTAAAATCTGAGCTCTGCAAGACTGTCACCCAAGAAATGCAGGTATGTAGCATCGTAATTCCATAGCCTATAACATGTGGAAATTTCAAACTATGAATAGTATCTTTTTCTTTTCTGAGATGAGGTAGAGAAGGGTTGAATTATGTTTTGTATTGCTAACAGTTGCTTCTTTTGGAATTTTTTACTTGTTCATAATTCTCACTTGCAGGCAATCCCTTACACCTTGAGGATTCCCAGCCAAAAACACCTAACTCCCACTGTTCTTTCGGAAAGGGTATCATGTTCTTCTCAAATAACTACTTACAGCTTTTTCAGAGACCCATCTATTTTAGAAATGTTTTCCACAGACCTTTTCATTTTCAAATTTGTAGGGTATAAGTTGTCGTGTTACGCCACAGCAAATGCCAACTCTCAAGAAGTATGTTTATGACACCCATGATTTTTCTTTTTCTTTTATTTTTATCTTTTAATTTTGTTTGTTCCATTGTTCTGTGTGAAACAACTCATGACAATTTGTCTTTTGCACATGACAAAACCAACTCGCTTAAGATGCATATTGTCCCAGTTGCTAGTATTTCTGGATGAATTTACTTTTAGTTCCGTCATCTCCCATACCGATCTTGACGCTCCTTTCTTAAGCAAAGAACATGTGCCATGGCCGTCAGGAGTTCATTTCACTGCCAACTTCCCTAGTGCTGTGTTTGGATTTTGGATTTGTATAAGGATTTGTGGATAGAAAGGAAAAGGGAAGTGAAAAAGTGAATTATTTTCCTTTCCCTCAACAAATCCATGATACAAACACAACATAAAATTTTCAATTTGATGGACTTATTTATTGAAAGGATGGGGAGGAGGGGGCTGTGGCATGAATCATGATTTTTGGTTTGATACCATGTCACTAACGGCACTTGCAGGAAAAGAATAAACTGGAAACTAGGAAAGACACAGAAAAGAAACTAATGAGAAATTTGGCAAAAGTTACACATCATAAAAACCTCTATATTTCCTTTTTGTTTGACCCTTCAGATAATTAGATTGAGTTTATGATGGTACCGTTCATGTTGTTTGACTTTGCTAACATCAAGTAATGCATAGCTTTTGTTTTTATCCTTCAGAGTGCATATAGTCACTTTGGTAATTGGTTTTCCACTTCTAATTCAGTGTTATTGTTGCCTTTTTATCCTTTCAAGCAACTAAAAGATTGTTCTTCATTCCAGCCCTCAAGTGCGTCCAAAGTTTTGTGGGAAAGCAACTGTGGTTCCAAAGGTAGAATTAGGAAGCTGGACCTCAGTTAAAAAAGAAAAAGCTGCTTTCACATGTAGGGGCTCTAGTAAGGAGCACAGACAGAAGAGACTGTTTCCCACTGAACTGGTAAACCTGAATTTGTTTTTCTTTGCTTTGCTCTTGTTTTCATTTTTGTGTTTGTCTTTTTTTAATTAGGAGTGTCTTAAAAAGTAGGTTACATTACAAGAAATGGACTAAGTTAACTCGATCTTTCATCATGAGAACTCTATGGATACTTCAAATGCAAACAGTATGAATCTTGTTTCTATGTTTAACTGAGTTGAAGTTTGGTCATATAGGAGAGAGAACGGAGAATTGTCATCGAATCAGATGAGGAGATTGATGTAGGGTTTTCCTGCTTGCTAGAAGAAAAGGACACAGGTAAACCAATTCTAAAATAATCGAACAGGCACTAGTTTGTCTTTGCCGGTAGTATGTCATACGATTTTACCTCTTTATTATTTTACATTGATCCCAAATCAACTTTCCAAGACTATTATTAAAAAACGACCTACAATGGTGTCTTGGCGCTTTCAAACACATGACACATGTGCCCATGAAGTGCACCCAACGTGTCCTATAAAAAAAAATAATAATTAAAAAGATTGGAGTGTCGGTGCTTCTTCGCCTAAGATGGTAGTGTATCTATGTCGGACACTGCCATATTTGGTTTACAATCAATGATCTAAACCTTCTTTATTTTTTTTGTTTTTTTTTTTTTGGGGAAGACATTGGAAACTATTCAATGGAAGAAGCAAAGGAAGAGACCAAAAGGATTCTGAGGAAAGCAAGGAGGGAAAAGAGAAAATACAGTAATGCAATAATTTTGATTTGAAGGTAAGGTAACACTTTATGTTCTAGCACTCTCATTTTTGTATGATCTAGAACCTGTTAATTTCCACTAGCTTCTTTATTACCTTGTGTTTGTGAAGGTAGAAAACTTGTCTGGTTAATTTGGGATGTCCCGTCAAATGTTGTCTTTCAATTTCATTTTTAATAGAAGCAAAATGGATCAACCTGTTTTGCATCATTTCCCCTTAGAACTAGTAATCCAAGTGAAAAAAATTCTAAGAAAGTAACTATATTATTTATATGAGAAAGAATTTATTTTCTTCTCTTTTTCTTGTACTTATGAGTCTTATGACTATAAATTTTGATGGATTGAAATTATCTAAAAGTGAAAAACCAGGGCATTGGATGAATATGGAGTATAATGCTTTTGTGCTGCTAGTAGGGAGTCTTTGGCTACCATTTGAGGCTGTTTTTCTTGATCACAAATGAAGCCTTCATGTTCCTATGGAATTACTAAGTACATTTTTTCAAAGAGAATTTAGGTTAACGACCCCATAAACATTCTCTTGCATGCAACTTTTACCTTTATTCCATCATCCCTCTCGAAATTTTTTGAGTCTTCAAATTACATATAATACTTAAAAACCTTTTGATGGGAAATGGAAAGACATTGGTTGACGAAAAAGGGTTATAATAATTGATTATGATTTTATTAACTTTTTAATTAGGGGTTTTGGATGCCTATAAATAGGTCATTCTGTAATATGTTTATTTAGCTTTGTAATAACAAATGTTGTGTTTAAGGCTTTGTCTGACTTTTGTTCTTCTTTCTACTTCTTCTCTCCTTATTGAAAGTGTTCTTCTTCTCTTGTGGATCAGTTCTCTACTTTTGGGATCAATTGAATAGTTATCGACTTCTTAACAAGACTCAGCCCCTAACTTCGGAGTCCTAGAGGTGGGTCAACTATTTATGGATGAAAATAAAACTTTTCTTTCTAACACTAAGATGCTTACTCACGTCTGGAGGAACCGTGTCCCTATTTTTTTTTGGACATTTCAATGTGCTACTAATAAGTACATTTAATTCTCGTTGTCAATTACTTTGAGCCTTGGGGGTGTTTGGACACCTCCTGTGAATAAAATTTCAGTGTGATTGAACTAAATTTATTTTGTTTTACAACAATAGTTTTCAGTCTAATTTGTGTTATGATATTCTATAATTGATATACCTACATGTTTTATTATAAATTGCAACAGTGAATCCTATTTTAAAGCAGCAAGCCGTTGTGCTCCTTATGCTATGGAGCTGAATACTCTCACTGCGCTCTGTGCAGGCCTAAGATCTATGGACGTCGCACTAGATTGGAGTGCCTGATTGCTGCACTGCTTTGCCCCGAGCCCTGAATTTGATCAGTTCTGGTGCATTTTTTCTGCTCCCAAGTCCCAGTTGCTATTCATAAATTTCATGTTTTGCCTTTTTTTTTCTGTGCAAATTTATGTTCTGTATCCTTGAACTGATTTCATTCATAAGGTTGCACTCACGTCACTTGATGATTAGTTGAGTTCATGAACTGCATTTGTGTAATGGTGCAAGAGACTATCATAACACACAATGCCCAGTAACAATATTATGTGCTGCCAAACATTAGTGTGGTTGTCATGTGGAAAATAACATAGTTTGATGTTGTTTTCTTTAACATTCGTTGTTTCAAATCTTCTGTATGAACAAAAAAAAAATGAAGACATGGGATCCTATGTCTCAAATTATTTTTGTTCTCATGGCTTAAAGCACTTATAACTATTGAATCATGTCTTGAGATTCTCACATAATATTTTAAGAATAAAAAAATTTGAAGACACGAGATTCTGGATCCTAAAAAAAATATATACCAAGACACAAAGCTTGCACATGGTCCCACCACTTGCCGTGGGGTTCGCCAAAAATTGTATTTAGTTAATATATTTATTGATTTGTTTGTTAGAATATTTCTAGCATTTTTGTTAGGAGAATTCTATACACCCGATTATACCCCTAGTGTTATTTGGTTGTGACTTTAGTGATATTTTGCATGTTACATTGTGATTTGAAGTGTGACGCCTACTTATATGTCAAATCAAAATGAATTATAAATTTAGAGTGTTTGGTTAAAGTCTCTTTTATTATAATTCATAATGGTTGTTTTTCGTTATGAACCTAGTGATGTATGGTTACGATCCACAATAGTGTTGATTATAAATCAAATTAATAACATAAATTGATTTCTTTTAAAGTTAACAACTAAAAGTAATATTGCATATGTATGAACCTTTTTTAAGGAATGTGTATACTAGTTCCAGTTTGACATTCTCACTAAAAAACTATACACAAAATCAAGTTGGGCTCAGTCCAAGACTCCAATATCCTGACTGTGAACAGCCCAACTAAAAACTTTTATGGGCCTATGTTGGAGGCCCTTAACATTCCCTTTCCTTAATTTGGGAAGTTGGAGATATATAAATATTACGAAACCAATCACATGACTTGAGACCAACACCAACTACTTTATATTAATTATATTTTTCTTGCCCTGAACGATTATTAACTTAAAGGAATGATTCTAAATGATTCGGGCCCTCTCTCTGCACTAGAAGGCTTTTAAATCATCCAACAAATGTCCTTCGTTCCAAAGGTGATATCACCACTAATTTTTTAATCTGATTTTCCCATAAGAGTGTGTAAAGTTGCCAAATCCAGCTGGATGGTATTCTCATCGTTCTTTATGATCTTTCCCTCCTTTGAACTAATTGATCACATTTTGTTGAATTTTATTTGATTCGGCTTCTCTCCCGTTCACGATTTTGTGAATTGGTGGCATGTTTGTTTGGGTGGACATGGGCTTGGGATTGGACTAATAGTTCAATAAAATTATTAATCCGATATTTGGTTAAACAATTGAAGTAGGGACTAATTATTTTAAACTTGACTATTAGTTAAGATAGGATACATAATCTAACGAATTCATAGTCCTAGGACTATTAGTCATGGGAATGCTAATACAGTCCGCCCAAACAAATATGGCCTGAAGGTATAGTTAAGGTTTATTATGGGTTTTATTCTAATGATCTGAATTATTTATTTTGTTTGATTATGCGTGTAAATTATTCATAAAAAAATGAGATTGATATGATAATCATAGTTTATAATTTTATTAGATTTGTTTACAAGATAGAGGCGGTCTATTTTTGTAATTATCTTTGTTGCCCATTTTTTGTGGATAAATATCACCAAAACACATAAATAATGATTATCAAATAATTTGATTTTTTATTTATTTTATTTTTTATGAATAATTTACAAGCATAGTCAAACAAAATGAATTGTAAGAGTGGGGGACTATAATAGTCACCACAACCCCAATAGCACCTCTAGTCTATTTTTGTTGTACTAGAGAGAAACCTTTTCCTTTTACTTTTGGGTTTAACTATTTTGCAGTTTGAACCTCTGAGTCCACCATGAATCATCCGTTCATTGTATAGGTCTTTATATATAGATCAACTATGAAAAATCAAATTCATTCGATAATTGTAATTATATTATTTTATCATATTTGTCTTTAAAAAAAAAAAATTGTTAAATATAATTTTAAAAATAAATTATTCATATTTTAAAAACAAGTAAAATAAAATTATTTGATTAAGATTATTAAATCAATTTAATTTTTTAAAAAATAATTTATATATAAAATAAACAAATCATATTAGGGAAATGAAGGTGATGGTAAGGCAGAAAAATTGTTTGGTTCTTCGCAGGCTTTACGTGTTCATATTTTTCACCAATCATTATTCATCATGTTTCATGTTACTTTTTAATTCCTTAATATAAAATTATGAATTTCACCTCCTACTCCAATCACAAACCTTCTAAGATGTCATGAGACCGCGTTCAACACCACCAAATAATTTCCCAGCATGTCGACGGGGGAAGAGTGTTTCTTTTACTTATATATATAATAATATTAATGTTTATTCCCCTCGAATCACAGCTACCTTGTCTCATTAGGGAGGAGATAAAGACTCAAGGGAGGTTTTTATTTTCAATGATTAACACTCATACCTTGTCTCATTCGGGAGGAGATAAAGACACAAGGGAGGGTGTCTCTATTTGCACACCACTTTTCATTTTAAGATACACTATTAATTAATTTATTTTTTATTACAATATTAACGTAATATAAAATGACTGTAAAGGACAAAGGTTATAATACACACCTTACGTAATACACACCAATTACTCATTGCACACCACACCTAATTTTTATTTTTTTATTTTTCACTCAATACACACTATCAATTTTCAAATATTCCTAAAATATCCTCATCTTCTCTAACCTTAACCATAATCCTAACCCTAACTCTACCCCCGCAGCCATTGACCTATTTTCAATTTTCAAAGTGACATTACCCATTGGCAACTGTCGGTCCTTGTTAATTGAGGGTGCTGGGAGGGTTAAGCCTAGTTGCAAACCTTACCATTGATTTGATAGAGAATACGATAATAAAGAAAGATGATAAAGAAAAAAAGATTCGTGAAGCCCATTCCAAGTAATTGGATATGTGGGTTTATTTATGTGAGTTTTACATGTGATTGTATGAAAATCAAATGAAAGCATAATGGGTATTGATATTGATTTAAGACATGATATGATTGCCTTGGTCTCAAGGAGGGTATAGCTTTAAATAGAGTTGAGCGGGATGAGTTATTTACTCAAGCAATTGAGTGACTGGGATTAAGCAATCGAAGAATAAAGATGTAATAAAAAATTTTAAGAAAATGGAAGATTGGAGATTATGGGTGGGGTGTGTGAGTGAGTGAGAGTAAAGATGGGAATTGTATGTGGGGTTTGTGAGTAAGGGTAAAAGTGGAAGATTGTGGTGTATATTGAGTAAATTTCTTATTTATCAAATTACTAAATGTATGTCTTGAGTAATTGTGTGCCTTGAGATGAAATGTAGTATAAATTAGGGATGACAACGGGACAGGGCGAGGCCGGGGATCACACTCCCCGTCTCCGATCCCCGACGGCAAAAATTTTCCCGTCCCCGATCCCGATCCCGATCCCCAACAGGGAACCTGTGATCACCGCCACCCCCGTCCCCTAACGAGGTTCAGGTTTCCCTGACTCCGAAAATTCCCTGGTCCAAAAAAAAAAAATTGGCAAATCAACAACATCATCAACAGATCAACATCATATTCATACATCAACAACATATCATGTATACTTACACAACATATCAACAAAATCATTAACAACATCATACACAACAAATCAAAAAAAGAAAAATCAGAGAGATGGGAAAGGCGTCGAAGTCCGGCAGTAAAAGGAAAGGGCGTCGCCGTGATGTTCTTGAGCAGGGAGATCGGCAACAGCGAGATCGAAAAGATCAGTGAGATCGGCGAGATCTGGGAGACAGCGGAGGAACTACTGCCACCGCCATCAACGAGATCGGAGATCGACGAGATGAGAGGAGGGAGAGGATGTCGGAGGAGTCGCCACCACTGCTATTGGTGAGATCGGAGATCGGTGAGATGGGAGGAATGAGAGGACAACTTTGTTTTTGTGTGTGAGGAGCACCTGCAAAGAGAGAGAGAGGCGAGAGAGTTTTTGTGTTTGTGTGTGAGTAAGTGTTTGTTCATCCAAACCCTACATATACACATATTATATATATATAGATCGGAGATCGACGAGATGAGAGGAGGGAGAGGATGTCGGAGGAGTCGCCACCACTGCTATTGGTGAGATCGGAGATCGGTGAGATGGGAGGAATGAGAGGACAACTTTGTTTTTGTGTGTGAGGAGCACCTGCAAAGAGAGAGAGAGGCGAGAGAATTTTTGTGTTTGTGTGTGAGTGAGTGTTTGTTCATCCAAACCCTACATATACACATATTATATATATATATATATACATACAGGGGCGAAATAGTAATTTCATGTCGGGGGCAAGCGGGCAGGAGTCGGGCCGGGTCCGGGTTTGAAACATGTATCTTCGTCCCTGACCCGAATATCATCGGGGATTCAATTTTTAATACTATCCCTGGCCCGTCGGGGGTATTTTTCGAGAAATAACCGCTCAATTCGGGGTCGAGGGATTGGGTCTCCATCGAGTCAGATTCCGATTGTCATCTCTAGTGTAAATAGAGGCACCCAGGTTTTTATTTTCAATGATTAACACTCATTTCTCAATTATACCCTTAAAATCTAATTTTATTCTCCTTGATCAAACTTTGAGCATGAATGAGGACCCCATCCCATTATAAGAACAATGTTATACCTTCTTGTTGTGATTGAAACATCAAAGGGTTAGGAAATGCAAACCTTTTAATTGTTGGGTAGTGTTTGGTAATGCATAAATGGTAAATATTAAATAGTGAAGCCCTTCTTCATGTTATTTATGCAATGAGTCATGATTCCACTGTCCCCAATTCCGCAAGTTTTCCAACTCATAATGATCCGTATGTTGTCTTTAATGTAGATAGCACAATATAATCTCAGGCAGGTTATGGACTTTTGGGAGTATTTTTAGGCTGGTCAAATTTATAATTCAAACCTATGTTAATATTTAGGGTATAAACATAAAACAGGACAGCAAACAGAAAGGCGTAAGTGTAAGGTGTAAGTTGCACACTTAAGAAAAGTTCTAATATTTATATTTAAATTTATGATTTAAATATAATTTAATATCACTTTCTTTTTTTTT